TATGCAGACTGTAACGCAAGAAATTATTACACAATTTTAAATTGGAAAAGGTTTCTTCGACAACAGATTTTTGACAATAATTTGACAACGATACGTGTTACATTATCATTGGTTGTTTTTATCAAATTTTTTTAAAAGTTTCATTTTGTCTTCGAGGGCATTTTTGGAAAGAATGTTCAGAAACATTTTGGTACTTTTCACTTTTTGAAACAATATTTAGAAGAAAAACCTATTCCTCTCTTCGAAACTCTCTCACCGCCTTCGACATTCCTCATTCGAATCTCCGCCACCGAAGTACTGTGTTTATCCACTGTTGTTCGTTCGTTGCTTGGATCCACCGTTGTCTCCGGAGGAAGTCGTCTCTCTCTGTCAGCCATTGAAGTGTTGTCTTTGTATCGCTTGGGTCCACCGTTGGCGTCATTTCTCCAAAGCTTTCGTTCTCTCGCTCGTGCTATTGTTCCTTCGTCGGTTGCTGGATAAAGTTTATTTAACATGGCCTTTTCTTGGGTTAAACTTGTCTGTCTATTGCTGCTGGGGTTGGGTATTGAAATTATCAAATGTGTTAGGATCTTATATCTCGTAGTTGTTTCTGCTTTTGGAAAAATATATTATTTTTTTTAATTATTTCTCTATTTACATATTTGGAATTTTTGACAGCCCCAATTTTTGGTTCTTGAGTTGAGATTAGATATTTGTTCGGCGAAGCAAGCGAACGTATGTATGTAATATTTTTTTTTATAGCACTTTTGTAATAACTTAATGTTAAGTAGGAGCCTTGGTGATTGAGAACATTAGGTCTATGCTCATCAAAATATTGATTGTGTGTTGATAATAGATGTTTCAAATATAATTGTTGATGTGATTAACTAGTAGGTGTGTTATACTTTTTTTTGTTTTTTTTTTGCATTTCCCAGGCACAAAACCTGGAGTTATTATTTGGTATGTTGTTAAAAAGAATGAGGAAAAGTATGCTTGATCAAACAATGTAAGGATCAGTAACTTGTTAAAAGACTAGATGATGTTTGTATTGTGTTAATTTTTTAAAGTAACATCTGTGTTGATTTCAGGAGCAGTTGCAAGTATTTAGGACAAAAAATTATATGGACTGGATTCACACACAATGACAACAGGTGTGAAGAGAACAAGGTGTCGCTTTGTTTGCAACACTTAGGATTTTATAGTGTTTTTCAATTATAGTTGATTAGTTGCCTAAGATATGGACATTGTATAAGCCTTGTACATGTTTTTTGTAAACAAATATAGATATGATTATAAAGTGTAGGTGTAATATGTACTGATAATATATTATATAAATAAAATTTCAATTTTGATAGATGTACACCATACGTTGTCTTCCAGTGTGTTCGAACTCTATATATGAAACACTTTTTTTGGGGAGAGTGGTTCATCTAGTGGGAGTACGTGAAGTTCTGTACAAATTATCCTGTTTCCTCTGGATAATGTTGTACAGAACAGAACTTCAACGGTACTCCCCAAACTAGATGAACAACTGCTCCACAAACTCTGTTTTTCTGACCTTTTGCTACTTGTTTGTCTTAACTTTCTCCACACAAACTCCAAATTGGACTTGATTATTGTTTTGTTGGAATCTAGACTCAAAGATCGCTTTCCAACAAAAACAAGAATAAACTCTTTGGAGTTCGGTGGAGAGTATGAGCAAAACATACCGCAAAGATGGAGAGGTGGTAGAAATATATAAACGTTAACTTTAGGAATTAACTGGCATCTACTCAGATGTCCAAAATTATAAATTAGTAGTCATGAAAGATTTTTTGAGTCTACTTTCTAATGAATTAAAAAAAAAAGAATTCACATATTTGGAGGTCTGTTGACAAAAAGTTATGATTAAAATAGTCAGCAAAGGTCAAAGTTGACAGATGGGGTATGCACCCACACTCAATTGGCGAGAGAAAACCACCTAAATGTACATATTTTTATTGAAGAGAGAAAGGAAAAGATGAAGAGAAAGAAAGTCAATGACCCTAACCTCATTATTAGTGCAGAGGGGAGTACCACCCCAATACATGAGATCACTCCAACCCATCTCAAAAATGGAAAAGAAAATTCAACAAAAATAGAGAATTGGCGAGCTGTTCATCTAGCTCGGGGGAGTACCAGTGAAGTTCGTACAAATTACCCTTTTCCGTTGAGTAATCGATTACAGGGTGGTATCGATTTATCGGGAAAGTAAGAAAGAAAAAAAGTGTGTAATTTGTACAAGAGAAACTTCAACTGTACTCCCAAGCTAGGCATGAACATTGTTCCCCAAAGTTGATTTGTGGTCCACCAAAGTAATTTTTCCTGTTACTCAATCCCCTTCATTTTGTTTTTATATTTGTAATATTGAAGAGTATTCCAACTGGAAGTTGTTCCATTAATGATTTGCATCTCACAAACCTTCAAAAGAACAGTCATAACCGAATCCAAAAATAGTCCTGGGGAGTGCTTAAGCCACCGTTTGCGGGTTAGCACTCTTCAACTTTCGGTCAAAAGAAGGATTTTTCTTACTGGTAAGCGATTACCAGTCCCTTGTAATCGGATTACAAACATCAGTCTTGTGTCAATGATGACGAACAAACAACTGCCAAAACAAAAATTAATATTGTTGTTCGGTACAATAACCAACTGGTAAAGTTTAGGAAACAAAAAAAACCAAAAGCAAGGGACACACCAAAAAATGACGAACAGATGCAAGACCAAATTCACTCCCCAAAATACAAATAACGAGACTGACACTGTGATCACCAATTGTACTTGGTCTTCCATCAACAACTGACACGACCTCCATAACTTTGAAAATCTTCTTGTCCACACCTTCATACATGGTTAACCACTTCAAAAAAATAATTAAAACACAAGTCCTTGCATGAGATGGGGGAGTTAGTCTTCAGCCGAAAGACACGGGGTTTAGCACTAGTCAACTTTTGGTTTACAAAATGGCCATTTTTTGCCAATTGGTAAACGATTACCAAACACAGTGTATATGCGATTACAACTGCATGTCAAAGGTTGTCCATGGTCAATGGCCTCCCCCATCAACCCAAAAGATCACATGTACTTGGTCTTCCATTCAACAAAGGACTCACCTAACTTCAAAATCCTTCTTCTGCACACAACTTATTCCATGCCCAACTTGGTAACAATTCACAAAACACTCAAAACACACTCCTGCGACAGTGGGAAAGTTGTTCAGTGCTAGACTGGGTGGTAGCACACCCTTTAATTTTGGTGACAAAAAGGCCATGTTTTCATGGTAAAGCGAATTACCAGGCCCCATGGGGTAGTGATCGTGATTACACTGCCATATTAACACACTGGTAAATTGTAAAGGGGCTCACTCAGGGAGCGATTTAAAGCTGGCTTTGTAGGCACTCATGATTTTGGTTTTGGTACAAAAAACAATTTTAATCAAATAGGTAAACAATTACAACTTCTCTGTAATCGATTACAACCGCTTCAGCTCTGTCAAAATTGTTCATCATTCAAGCTGTTGTCAACCTTACAAACACCCTTAAATGGGTCTGTCCCTACATATAGGGGTCACAGAAATGGACATAACTGGACATTTGTTAAGAACAACTAAGATGAAAATTAAACAAACACTACCAATCAATAAAACTGAATGAATATTACAATAACAATTCAAATAAGCATTTGCTAACAACCACTTCTTTTTAACAAAACCAAATCTTTGTTTTTCAAAATACAAATAAGTCCATAAATTAAAAAGTTCTAAAAATACTAACAGTTAATACAAATATCCATAATTTTAAAGTTTGGGGACTATATTAGTGTACGAAAGTTTTACAAACTGCACTTTTGAATCGGCTTTCGGTGCATGTAATACTTCATAACAATTATTCATTGTGCTTTTGAGCAATCTTTCCCAACATCCAAAGTTGTTTGCAATTCATGGTTGGTTACAATGGGGGTGTTACTGTAACCACCAATAATATTTAGTTTTTCTCCTCAAGCAACTTCGTCTTCATAGGCTTCAGACTCTTTTTCAAAGTGCTTTAATTTGCAACACTGTGTTCCTCTAAAAACACCATCTAAACCAATCATCAAATCTTTTTTCTGTTTTTATTGGTGCTGACCCTTGAATGTGCCTTTCTTCCTTTTCTTCCTCTCCAGCTGGGACTAAAATGATGTGCTCTCACAAATGGCTGACTCATTTCTGTTATTGATGCACCCTAATCATCAAGGAGTTGCAAATTCATCAAAAACATAATTGTATTAAATTAAATCATTAATACATGAAATTATGTTAATAAAAACCTGATACATTACACCACCCGACTCCATTGTAGATTTTATGGAAATTGTCACCTACATTCAACATTAATCCAATGCAAATTCTAGGGTATTTATGAAACATAAATTATTAGGAAGGAAACAGAACGATCACAAAAACCAAAACTTGAAAATACATTACACACCATAAGTAGTATACATTAAAATGCTCACTAAAACCATTCATACATAATTATGAATTCAAACATTTCAAAGGAATGAAACAATCCATATAAAAGATTACTTGGAACACGTACACACAACCTTCCACATACATAGTCCTTTCGACACCTAGTGTTACCTCACATTCCCATAGCTCGTACAGCTTCTGTTGAAACTAACGAAGATAGATATTGGCTATATATACGAACCCAACACGCTGCGAACACGAGGGTAAAACTACGCCAAATCAATTCCATACTTGTTTATGGCAAACATTGAGTTCGCAAACAAATTGGGAATAGTTGTTTTGGTACGATTAGGTAACATATCTCAGAAATTCTACCAAAATCGTATAGCCTACAAACATCATACTGAAGGCAACTTCTTGGTGGTTTGTTCTTGACAAACATAAGCGATTCATATATAACTTGACATTATATTTTCCATTACCTTTGCAAAAGTATTCCGACAATCACTTTTTTCAAGTGTTTTTTTCAATCAACCATAATCGGTAGCTCCTAACCCAAAAAACCCAAGCCCTAAGCTTAAACGTACATCTACTTCCTTTAATTCCACAAATTTTTCTCCAAACCAAAAACCCACCCTCTCATCATCCCACCTTTCTAATAAATCGCTCAGAATATTCCTACCAAGCTTAATGTCATCATTTAGTTCTAAAAACCATTGAAATGAGTTTGTGAAATACTAGCCTTCTGTTTGTCAGTCAACATTTCTTCAAACCACCAATAAACTTGGTTTTCATTGAATGTCGAACAAACAACTGCCATCTGAAATAAATTTTTTTTCAGGTATTAAGTCGCTATTTGTTAAATTTTGATTATATTTTTATTAAAAACAGAACCCATTAAAAAAAACCCACAACCCATCGACAAAGCTTCAATATAACCAACAAAAACACAATGAATACCTAAAATGAATGAAGTACATACCTTGTTGGAGGAACCAATGTCAGGGGTCGAAGCCATTGTACAAAATAACGAACAAAGAACCACAAACTTCAAAAAACCCTTCCATTGAGACCGGTTAAAGCAGACCACGAACTCCACAAACAAAACTGCACCACACCAACTCAAATGGGTACACAGTCAACACAACAAACACATAAAATGAAATGAAAATCAAAAACCTGAAAATGGAAGACGAAAAAGAGAGTGTGAAGGAGAACGAGAGTTATGGAACAGAGAACGAGAGTGGTGTGGCAGAGAAGAACGACTGTGTGAAGGAGAGACAACGAAAATTTGAAAAAGAAATCCCTAGCAATGAGCACCAACTATTCTGGACAAAGGATTAAGTGAAAAATGAAGCAGGGCAGTTTGGGAAACTCATCCAAAGCAGATTTTCTTATTAAGAAAATAAATTCAAACCCAACCAAGTACAACGCGCCACGTGGCGTTGTCAAAAGTGTTGTCAAAATCCAGTTGTTGGAATATCGCTGCCCTTTTAAATTTCTTATTACCGAATGTGTGAGTGACGTGGAGGATGACGTAATCGTTTGATCGAAGAAGGGAAAGGGTCGTTGACCTTAACAACGTCTTTGTCTCTGTACTCAGAGGCTGGGAATCAGAATTAGGTTAAACCTCTGAATTAGTCACACTCAGCTTCTTTCATCCATTTAACTTGCCATACCATCACAATTAGTAGCTGTTTACCAAATAAATAAATAAATTATCTAAATGATGTTCATCTTTCTTTCTAAAGAAAAATTTACTGTCGAATAATCTTATTATTAGTACGAAATTATCAATAATTGTTTTTTTAAAAAGATATATCTAGTTATCTTTTTCTTTTAATTACATCTTTTATTATTCTCTTAACATCAAATTTGTCACCCTATTTATCTTCTACTGTATTTTCAATTACATATATTAACAAGGATTAAAACTAATCACTTAATTAGACTCATCACGAATTTAAATTAGATTGAATAAAAGTTATAAAACTTAATTATAAAGTTTAATGAATATGAGAGATGGTATGAGTTTAACTCTCCCACTAATATTTATACAAGATCTATAAAATTGGTTTGGGATGTTTAGAATAGAGAATGGAAAGTGGAAGATGTATTAACATTTATCTATAAAAGAAAATTATATTGGGTTAAAAAAATCAATGTTTGTTATCATGAATTAAATAAATTGGAATTGAGTCGAAAAAAATTAACTTATAACTTATCGTCAATAATCTTTTATTATTATTTTATCAATATTCTTTTAGTATTTTTAAGTTGAGAATACATTTTTTTTAAAATTATAATATGTTGTTTAATAATGTTTAAATAATTTAAATGTTTATTTTGTTTGTCAAATTACATATTATAATAATGTTTACTAAAATAGACAAACAATTTTTATTATTAAAAAAATAAATTTAATCAATTTATTTTAATTACACAATAATAAATATATAAAATAACTAAAAAATAAATAAAATATCTTTAAATCAATCAATCTACCAACCCATAATAAATTACCAAATTACAAAAATATTTTATAAAAACATAAACATATTAAATCAATTTATTTTTATTTCAACCCATAATAAAATTACCAATCTTAAATTCATCTAATTCGATATATCTTGCAATAACTAAATTAATGGTCCATATAATTGTAGCTGGAAAATAAATAGAGTGAGAGTGTACTTTATAACATGCTATAAAATTCATTTTTCTTTTTTTCTCATTTTTTTTTTTAGTTTTGCTATAAAATGCTAGAGACATTTTTTTAACAGGTTTCACCGCTGAAAAGATTGGAAAACAAAGAATAATCTTAATTTATCCAAATCTTTTACATTTCGTGCTTTATAAATATATTTTTGTATATTTTCAGGATTTTTGTAAATATTTTAAAGTTTACAAGTTGTGTAAGATGAGAATATCACATGATAACGTTTGAGGGGTTTTATATGTGATTTAATCAATATTAAATCAAATTATTTATTAACTATTTAGAACAATAGTTTCAATTATTTAGTAACTTTTTCTTCTTTTCTACACTTACTCAACAACACAGTAACATTTTATGTGAGTTGAAAATAAAAACTTTTTTTTTTTTGCTTTGGTGAATTGTTGGAAGTGGGAGGTCAACGAGACAAAAAGGGCAGAGGATACCCCATAACATAAAGACTGTGAGTCCAAAACTCCATAGTCATTTCACATTCTAACTCACATCACATGCTACCAACTTTATGCCATTTTTTTAATACTTTCATGCAACAGACAAATCTTAATTACTTTTCCGTTTAATACACCCTTAATTAACCAACTTAGTTCAATAATAATATATACAAATAATTTCAATTTTACTAATACTTCTGTTAATTTATAGTAAGTAAAATATGCTCTTCATCACGAAGATTTTTTTACACACTTCAATACTTTTAATGGTCGCATTTACTTTTTCTGTTAGCACCTTAAAATTAATCTAATATCTATGTTTAATTTATCATCATCTTAGGTTTTTTAATTTTTGAGATTTACAAAAAAAATGTAGTTGTAAGATTTAAAAATTATTCAGATCAATTTACGATTAAATAATTTGATTTAATATTGATTAGTACAAAAATATTTTTAAATGTTAAATTGATCTTGGTATCAAGGTTTCCATCAAAAATGATTTTTTTTTTCGTGGAATATATCTTCTGTAGAAGAAACATATAACACTATTATCAAAGAAAAAGAAAGAAAACCCTTATATAAAAACAAGAAGAACAATATATGAATTGTTAGCACAATATATCCAATAATTAGGTTATAGAATTGCACAATCCATTTAGTAATTATTTTTTTACCTTTGCTTACAAATCTTTTTCTCTTTTTTGCATGGAAATGGTTTTAGGTCGACCAACTCTTTTATTTTTTTCTATGTTTCCAATAAACTATATATACTACTTTTTTTTAGGAATAATGACATTATACGTAAAAAAAAAATCATTTTTAACTCCAATGGCCTATTTCAATTTATTTAATAACATAAGTAATCAGGAAAATAAGTGACATAAAAAGAAGTATATACAATATATATAAATTCAGAGAGAGACCTGTTTAAAACCTTAAACAGTGTAAAAATAAATGCACAATTCTTCTCAATAAACTTGATATCAAGATAATATTTAAGATAAGTGTAGTCTTTTTCAACATAATATAAAACAAGTTTTCATTATAAATATATTTTTTTATAATTCTCAATAGTTCTAAAATCAATTGTGATTGCGAAGCTCACTAAGCTCTCAGTCTCACGCATGGTCAAAGAATTTGTAGCACTTTCTCGTGTGGTCTTTTTATTTTTTATTATGTATAAATAAAGAATTTGATCCTACCACTTGCTATGATTAATTACTTTTCAATATCCCTTACATGTGAAATCTCATGAAGGTCAAGAAAATTTTAACATTTAATGGGTCTAAAATATAAAACTATATTATTATTTTACGATTATAGTAATTAAAATTTGTTTTCATCGATTATACTCGAAGGAATCTCCATAAATTTTGATTTTATGGATTGGATTTGGAGTTTTGATATACTTAATATTATTTTAAATGACTCTAGCATTTAAATATTTTAAAATGGAATATTTCATTACAAACACTATTTTTATACTCAAATAAATACAAAAGTAAAACACTGCATGTGAGAAATTTTTTTTTTAGGAAAATGTAATTTTGTTACTTTATTGTTTAGATAAATTATAATTTAAAAAATTAATATAGCTTAAAATAACTAAAAAAATCAAATTGAAATGTCATCAACTTTTTTTTTTTAATTACATTCTTTACTTTTTATTTTGATATATCTAATAATATCTATACCTTTTACCAACTGCCTTCTGAATGAACTTTAGCTATACTTTTTTTAGTTATGTATTGGAATGACTTATTTATTTTCATAAATACCAACCGCATAGTATTTTGTAAAGTTTGCATCATTAAAAAAATAGTTTTTTATTTAGTTTTTAAGATATGTTTAACTATTTTACTGTTACAAAATGAATATTTTAATATTATTAAAATAACATTAGTTATAAATCCATGTACAATATGCACTTTATATATTAATTAGTAATAACTAACGATTGGAATACGATTACAGATTAATAAATTTTTTTAGTATTCCTAAATAACTTGTAAAAAGGAAACAGTCAGAATCAAACATTAAAACATAAACTTAAATAAAACATAAACATAAATAAGTAAGTCACACACACACGCATATATATATATATATATATATATATATATAT